AAAATGATCTATAATTGATTCAGTAGGTAGGGTAAGTCAATGAATACGAGGAAGAAACAATAATTTAAAGAAGAGTTACGAGAAAGGTCAAAATGCTAGTTAAAATAGCCTTATTATCCAGAATTATATGGGCTAAATATAACGTACTGCTTACAATGTGACGATAAATATAAGGTTAAATAGTCAAGCAAGTATCTTTTTAAAAAGATAAAGTTATAGAGCACAACGAAAGTCTATTTAGTATGAAAAGAATGTGTGCTATGCAAAAGGTGGAAGATGAGAATCAATTTCATCAATGCAGATGCAGCAGCTGCGTCGTGTTTACAGGATAGAACAGGATGACCACCAACGCACGAATAAAATATTTCATACTCAATTTGCGCTTAATATAATGATCAACGACGACGGAACTTCATCAAAATATAAAATCATAACTGTGAACAAACAGAAATTATTTTCTAACTGTACATTTTATTCCTCAGGCATTAAAAACTGTTCAAGATTTTGCAGAGTGTAACCATATATGTAGAAAGTTAGAAGCTGATGCATTCACATTTGTTCTTCATAATCCACTTCTCTCTCTCCTCCACATGTGAACTGCAGAGAACGGACAAACGACAAAATTAATGCTTGGGTGAAACATAATCGAATAAAATTTCCCGTAATGCAAAACTGCCAAGCAATCCTTAAATTCAGCTAAAGGAACGGAGGAAATCAGAGTTGACGGAAATATCTGATTTAAGGCTTTGAGCAAATCGATGTAGAAGATAACTGAGAGCACAAAACCAAATGGAAGAAAAATGGATACCGTCTGTATATAGGCACCAATAAAACTAACTTATCAGATTCTATCTGGAGGGAAAGAGGTCAGAATAATTGAAAGTGAGAACCAGCCTGGTACTCCTTACACTTTCGACGATTCACATGCACTGGAGGAATAAATTGTTGAACTGCGTCAATAGATATAGTTAATCCGTTGCAGTTTGTTAGAGTATTAAATTTTTGTGAAGATTTACGGCGGTCCTTTAATCATACAGTTTACGTAACGTGAGCTACGAAAGTGAACAAAAAATCAAGTAAAAATATGCTAACCTTCTGGGATGAACATTAACGAATTCTTTGCGCTATAAAACCAGTTTCCAACACTGGCAACTCTCGGGGCAGGAAGAGCCAATTGCTCATCGGCACCCAGTAAAGCCTGTTGTTTACATATATTTTCCTTATGAGCCTGTTCTGCGCAGTACATCCAGGCATTTTTGTCGTATCTCTTTGCTTCCTCTGCTTCTACTATTTCTTCAAAAGAAGCATTGTCTTCACTGGTGCTCTGCCGTAAGAAAGCATCGAGAGAAACGTTGTCAAATCCTTAAAATACTCGTTAGGAGATTAAATTTTGACAGTTTCATCTAGACTTACT